AATTTTTGGAAATGTTTTTAAATTATATTGGTACGACTCTATACCTAAAACGTCTTTTATTATTGGATAAAATTTTAAAAATTAGTTTTTATCTCAACCAATGAAATGAAATTATTCACAATATAGAATTTTTTGTGACGTTTGATAATGGTGGAAATCCGAAAATGAATCCACTTCAGCTACAGTCTATTGTAAGCTTTACATCGAAAATCAGAACGAACTTTCCGGACAACCTATAATGTTAATACAAAGTGTCAAATGAATGTAACAGAAGTAGTTTATTCCAAATTGTATCACAAGTGTATAGAAATAGAGTTCAATTTTGTCAAATGTACCGATATTTTTGCGCACCTTGACTGCTTCGTTACTTATGACGCTGTGGCTGCTACGATATTTATGAGCATCTTGCATGTACTCATATATTTGACGCTGTGTATGTACCGATGTATTTGAGCAGGGTGAATGTATCTATTATTTTGAGGACTTTTGTTGTACCGATATAATTGATTACTTTTGATGTACCTATATATTTGCATATCTTGTCTGTGACGATCTATATGACGCTGACTGTACGTTATATACGTTATAGATATTTATTGTGACACTAAAAGCTGTGTAAAAACATCAATACTTATAATTACTTACAACTCCTTGCTATTCCATAGAAGCATAGAAATATTTTAAATGTTAAATCTTTGCTACAAACAATATTCAATGCCTATTAAAAATACACATAAAAAACTTTTTTAATACAAATGATTAATAAAATATTGGAAGACAAACATATGTTTATGAGTATTGAAAATAACAGAACCTTTTTTTTATAATTACTCTTACTGATTGATTACAATCATTGCGACGAAAAAAGTTACATGTTAACTAAACCAACAGACTTATTATTCTGTTATAATAATTTATTTTCTAACTTTCAAATTCTGTATAATTCATAAGATAATATTGCTATAAAAAGACACATAATTGATAAAAAATTACATATTCCAAATAAACTTTGACAGATTACAAAGTATAAGCACTTATGCAGATGTAACTTTTTTCCTCACATGGAGATTTTGCCAGAGAAAAACATAGACTATAGTAACAGAGTATTAATGTTTTCCTAGCACATAATGACTTACCATAGTGATTTGTTCAAAAGGCTGCAACAGCGCTTGGTGTAAATTGTTGTAGTCCGTCTGCGGTGACTCCACCGGACTGCCCGGACTGTGCATCTGGAACAAACAATTTAACCTTAAACAAGTACCATTCACTTCAAATATACTGTAAATGTAGTTACTAATCTTTGTTGAATATTACGTTAAAAAAAAATTAAAAAATTAAGGTCCCCAACATAATAAGTCCACAATTGTTGAATACGGTGAATCCTTCGTATTCTGCATTCAAGCTTTTATATTTTTAATTTTTAATGTGACCGTTAGTGACGTCAAATGGCAGTTCAGAAATCTGCTATATTTTTCGACACTAGCCTAATGAAAGGCGATGGTATGGTCATGTACAGTCAGCGTCGTATAGATCGTAACAGACAAGATATGCAAATATATATGTACACCAAAATATAATTAATTATATCGGTACAAGAAAAGTCCTCAAATTAATAAATACATTCACCCTGCTCAAATACATCGGTACATACACAGCGTCAAATATATGAATATAAATATCGTAGCAGCCACAGCGTTTTTAAATTTTGGCCAAAAATAACTAACTAACTAATCACTAACTAAATATCAAATTTTGCCTTGTCACAATATATACTAGTTTGGCGCAGTATTATAGCATGTTTGCCGTAATATGTAAGTTTATCGGTTCGAATCTCAGGCTACTTTTTTATCATTTTATCAATCACTGGGTTATGTGTATACATAACTTCAATAACGTAGGAACAGTCACCTCCAATAAAGTGTAAGTACTTTCGCACTAACAGTGGCGGTTGTATAGAGGATATAAAGCGACGAATGGCAATC